AAAAATGAGCTGGGCAAATTAGCCGGGCATGGTGGCAGGCACCTGTAGTCCCAGCTACTCGGGAGGCGGAGGCAAGAGAATGGTGTGAACCCAGGAGGCGGAGGTTGCAGTGAGCCTAGATCTCACCACTGCATTCCAGCCTGGGCGACACAGCAAGACTCCATCTCAAAAAAAAAAAAAATTAGCTAAAATTAGCTAGGCGTCTGGCGGGTGCCTGTAATCCCAGCTACTTGGGAGGCTGAGGCAGGAGAATTGCTTGAACCCAGGAGGTGGAGGTTGCAGTGAGACACTGTTGACAGAGGGATACTTTATCTAAAAAAAAATAATAATAATAAAATGAATCTTTATAATTTTTTGACTTAGAACCTTTGGTAGGAAGAAAAAAAGTACAATTTCATTTTTGTTACAGCGAAATAAAACGGTAATTAGTTTAAGACTTTTAAGGGTAAGCAATTATTATTATTATTTTTGTTTTGTCTTGAGATGGATTCTCACTCCATCACCCAGGCTGGAGTGCAGTGGTGAGACCTAGGCTCACTGCAACCTCCACCTCCAGGGTTCAAGCAATTCTTGTGCCCCAGGCTCCTGAATACCTGAGATTACAGGTGCCTCCCACCAAGCCTGGCTAATTTTTGTATTTTTAGTAGAGACTGGGTTTCACCATGTTGGTCAGGCTGATCTCAAACTTCTGACCTCAAGTGATACACCCGCCTTGGCCTCCCAAAGTGCTGGGATTACAGGCCTGAGGCACCACACCTGACCTATCAATTATTATATTAAGATAAAATTTCAGTGGCAAAAGTGGACTGGAAATGATTATAAGAAAAAGATACAGTGCATGCACCTATAAATGTTAAAAAAGAGCTGGCTCATGTATGTTTAATGAATGATGGTGGTTATAAAATTGCAATGATATTTAGATTCCACTGCATGGGTTTTAAAGAATGATATAAAAATCTTATTTTATTTTTTATTTATTATTACTTTGGTTTTTGTTTTTTTTTTTTTGAGATGGAGTCTCACTCTGTTGCCCAGGTTGGAGTGCCGTGGTGCGATCTCAGCTCACTGCAAGCTCCGCCTCCCGGGTTCATGCCATTCTTGTGCCTCAGCCTCCTGAGTAGCTGGGACTACAGGCGCCCGCCACCATGCCCGGCTAATTTTGTTTCTGTGTTTTTAGTAGAGACGGGCTTTCACCGTGTTAGCCAGGATGATCGCGATCTCCTGACCTCATGATCCGCCCACCTTGGCCTCCCAAAGTGCTGGGATTACAGGCGTGAGCCACCACGCCCGGCCTATTATTACTGTTTTTTGAGATAAGAGTCTCACTCTGTTGCCCAAGCTGGAGTGCAGTGGCATGATCTTGGCTCACTGTAACCTCTGCCTCCTGGGTTCAAGTGATTCTCCTGCCTCAGCCTCCTGAGCAGCTGGGATTACAGGCACCCGCCACCACACCTGGCATATTTTTGTATTTTTAGTGCAGAGGGTATTTCACCATGTTGGCCAGGTTGGTCTTGAATCCTGACCTTAAGTGATACGTCCGCCTAGGCCTCCCATAGTGCTGGGGTTACAGGCATGGGCCACAGTGCCCAGCCTAAAAATCTTATTTTAAAATATCAGTATTAAAAATATGCTATAGGCTGGGCACCGTAGCTCATGCCTGTAATCCCAGCACTTTGGGAGGGCAAGGCGGGCGGATCATGAGGTCAGGTGTTTGACACAAGCCTGGCCAACGGGGCTAAACCCCATCTCTACTAAAAATACAAAAATTAGCCAGGTGTGGTGCCACGTGTCTGTAGTCCCAGCTACTTGGGAGGCTGAGGCAGGAGAATCACTTGAACTCAGGAGGTGGAGGTTGCAGTGAGCCGAGACTGTGCCATTGCACTCCAGCCTGGGCGACAGAGTGAGACTCCATCACACACACACACAAAATGCTAGAAGTGATATCTTTGGATTATTTAACAATGTAAAAAGGCTTTATTATTTTTTGAAATTGTTTCAAGAGGAATAGAGCAAAACATTTTAAAGACCACTGCTCTGATAAAGGAAGATCAGCCTTATTACCTTCATGGGCATGTATGCCAAAGAGAAGTAAATAGTGCTGCTTCCTGTCCCATACCAGCATATCTGGACTTTTTTAAGTTGTCACACCTCTGTACCCCAATTCCCCCAACTGTAAGATTGGATAAAAATATAATTTTTTAGTATTGTAACAAATGAGAACATTTACAAAGGAAATTACACAGTTCTTGGATCTTAGAAGTCACCCATTCAATGCAAATTATCTTCTCCAGAATTTTTTTTTTTTTTTTTTTTTTGAGACTGAGTCTCGCTCTGTTGCCAAGGCTGGAGTGCAATGGCATGATCTCAGCTCACTGCAACCTCCGCCTCCCGGGTTCATGCCATTCTCCTGCCTTAGCCTCCCAAGTAGCTGGGACTACAGGTGCCTGCTACCATGCTCAGCTAATTTTTTTGTATTTTTAGTAGAGACGGGGTTTCACTGTGTTAATCAGAATGGTCTCGATCTCCTGACCTCATGATCCACCCATCTTGGCCTCCCAAAGTGCTGGGATTACAGGCGTGAGCCATCACGCTTGGCCGGATTTTTTATTTATATGGATTTGAGGCCGGGCGCGGTGGCTCAAGCCTGTAATCCCAGCACTTTGGGAGGCCGAGACGGGCGGATCACGAGGTCAGGAGATCGAGACCATCCTGGCTAACACGGTGAAACCCCGTCTCTACTAAAAAATACAAAAAACTAGCCGGGCGAGGTGGCGGGCGCCTGTAGTCCCAGCTACTCGGGAGGCAGAGGCAGGAGAATGGCGTAAACCCGGGAGGCGGAGCTTGCAGTGAGCAGAGATCCGGCCACCGCACTCTAGCCTGGGTGACAGAGCAAGACTCCGTCTCAAAAAAAAAAAACAACAACAACAAAAAAGAAAGGCCAAAGAAAATTATGCTTTATCTTTCCCTAGGCACTAGACTGCCAAAACCAGTTACTGCTGGGCTGAGACCCCCTCCTCAGAGCTCTTAGGTTGTGGCAAATCCATCTCTTCCTTTTTGTTCTCCAAGCTCTAGAGTGTTTGCTGTTTCCTTAAGTTACAAATCTCTCCTTCTGTGCTCTTTCAGCCCTTCAACATTATGTCATCAGTTTCCTGTAATTAAATTCCCTTGTGGTTCTGCTTTCTTGACTAGACCATGATGAACAGAGCACTACCATTATTTGTTTTAGCAGTGCAGCCACATGGTTGGCATACTTTCAGAACCACTGCCTAATCTGTGGAAATGACCAAACTCAAACTAGTGTTGGACTTGGTGATATAAGAAAAATAAAGGACAAAAGTCCTTCCAATAATCACTGACATATAAGGAGACAGTCATATACACCCCTACAAAAAATTAAAAACTTCGTCAGGCATGGTGGCATGCATCTGTGGTACCAGCTACTTGGGTGGCTGAGGCAGGAGGATTGCTTGAGCTCAGGAAGTGAAGGCTGCAGTGAACCAAAATGGCCCCACTGTACTCCTGGGTGACAGAGACCCTGTCTCTACAAAAAGAATGGAGAATCTTAAATTTCAGCACCTTGGTATGAAACATCCAAGATGATCTCTAACTTTCCTGATAATGAAGTCCAGAGAAGAACTGTTTAATCTAATTGTCAAGTACCAGACCACAATTATCATCCAAAAAACACTGAATTTGTAAATTTCCCCATTAAAGCAACCCAACCATTACATGTTTGTAGAGCCTTAAAAAAAAAATCTGATTTCTTCTGAAAGTAATAAAGCCCAATTTCACAGAGTAAACAGCAATCAGTTCTAATACCCACATTCCTTTTGTGGAAGATTCTCTAGCCTTAGCAATTAGAGGGCTCTCTGTGGCAGGGGATTGGAGGATGTATTCTCCAAGGAGGCATTCTCAAGAACTTTCCCTTGCTTCCACATAAGAATCTTGACTTACTAGGATCTTGACATGGATACACCTTTCAGATCTTTCAAGGACTGGGGATGGGGAAGAATGCTGCTTTAGTCTGGAACTTTTTCACTCAGGGGTTCACATTCTTGTCCTGACTGTGGGCAGTTTTCTTAAAGCTGGGCCCTAAAGTTGTAGAGTGAAAAGGTGGAAATAACAGCAGGAGGAACACCAGGGCTATCGGCTACCAAACTACTTACGGCTCTGGTGCAAACAAGCAACCTCAGAGTAATGAAATCTAATCACCCTTCTGTGACTGGCATCACATTAGGTACAGGCAGAGATGGGGCATAAAAATGAGGATAACAGGCCGGGCATGGTAGCTCACGCCTATGGTCCCCTCACTTTGGGAGGCCGAGGGGGGCGGATGGTTTGAGGCCAGGAGTTCCAGACCATCCTGGCCAACATGGAGAAACCCCTTTTCTACTAAAAATGCAAAAATTAGCCAGGTATCGTGGCGGGCGCCTGTAGTCTCAGCTACTGGGGAGGCTGAGGCACTAGAATCGCTTGAACCTGGGAGGCGGAGGTTGCAGTGAGCGCCAAGATAGCCTCAAAACAACAACAACAACAACAAAACCACAAACCCGGCCCATGGCAGGAGATGGGGGTGAAGGAACAGTGAGACTGGGAGGCAGTCAGAGATACACACATCGGATCAGTGGTATCCTCACAGTAACAGAAACGGTCACCCCCAATGTCAGCCACAGTCTCTTTCATCCACAATCACTTTCACATTCAGCTACCCACGATCATGGGACGTGATTTAAAATACAGAAGCTCCCTGCACTCACAAAATCCGCCGCTCCTTTCGTGAGCAAGCATAAAGGTGTGCAGCAACAGTCACACACGAACCACCATATCCAAGCATTCAACCAGTCAGCCCAGCGCGCAGCCTGGCCGCTCTACCCTGCACAGCAGCTCATGCTCACTTGAGCGCCTGGGACCTCACACAGCCCTCTCCGGTGCCAGCCCCCGCGGCGCAGGCGCGCAGTGGAGGGGGCCGCGGGGTTCTCTGGGAGGTGTAGTTCAACGATGACGGCTGTGGCGCAATGCGTTCTGGGGCTCGTGGTTCGCGGGGTCCATGGGGAACGCGGTGTCGCTGGCTCAGATTTCGCAGAGCTCAGAGTCCTGCACGCCTCAGTCCTCGCCTCGCTCCTCTTCGCGGAGGATTCTGGGAGGTGACGTCGCGGGTCTTGATCGCGGGGCCCGTTTGCAGAGCCCGCGGCGCCTGGAGGTGAGTGGAGCCGGGCCCCAAGCGAGAGCGGGTGGTCAAGGGCAGGCTCCGGGTGGACCGGACGCGCCAGGGATGGGAACCCAGCAGGAGTCGCTGGGGAGGCCGTGTGTGTTTCACTGTGTTACCAACTATGTGACAGGCTGCGGGTGTGACAGAATGTGATCTTGTGTCACTGTGTGTTTGTGCGCCTGCGCCCGGTTGTGTGTGACTGTAACCATTTGTGTCTGGGGGTGAAACTGTGAATATGTGCGTTTGTGTGTGACTGTCTCTGCAGGTGTAGCTGTGTGTTTATGAGAGTCTGGGGTGTGACATTGTGTGTGTAAATGCATGTGTGTGGTTATGTGACCACCTGTTTCAGCGGATACAACTGCGTTTGAATGTGTGTGACAGCAAGTGTGATTGTGCGACTATGACCATCTGCCTCTGTAGGTATAGTTTTGTGTGGGTAATTGTGACAAGATGTGTGACTTGTGTGGTATGCTACTATGTGTGTGATTGTGTGTGATTGTTTATCTCTGTTGGTGTAATTGTGACCATCTATCTTTGTGCTTATGTGGCTGTGTATTGTGTGAGATTATGGGTGTGTTTGTGTGACTCTGTATATGTTTGTGATTGAGAGTTTGTGTGTGTATATGAGATTGTGGGATTGACTTAGGAAGCACAGGAATATTAAAATTGCCCAAGTTCACACAATTAACAAGTGACAGCACCAGAACTCAAACCCAAGCAGTTTAGCTCTAGTGGTCTCGCTTTTTTTTTTTTTTTTCCTTGAGATGGAGTCTCACTCTGTTTCCCAGGCTGGAGTGCAATGGTGTGATCTCGGCTCACTGCAACCTCTGCCTCCCAGGTTCAAGTGATCCAGCTGCCTCGGTCTCCCAAACTGCTGGGATTACAGGCGTAAGCCACCACACCAGGTCTTTTGTTTTTTTTTCCCAAAGTAGCATCTTACTGTCACCCAGACTGGAATGCAGTGGTGTGATCACAGCTCCCTGCAGCCTTGACCTCCTGGGCTCAAGCAAACCACCTGCCTCAGCCTCCCAAGAAACTGGGACCATAGGCACATGCCACCATGCCTGGCTAATTGTTTTTATTTTTATTTTTTGTAGAGACTTCATGCCATGTTGTCCAGGCTGGTCTGAAACTTGAGCTCAAGCAGTCCTCCCGCCTTGGCCTCCCAAAGTGTTGAGATTATAGGCCTGAACCACTGTGTCCAGTCAAGTTCCCCCCTTTAATTACTAAATTCCCTTGTTCTTTCCCACGTTGAGAGGGTGAAAAATGGTAACCCTGGGTTTTGAGGGTTTTGGAAAAGATGGTCTGGTCTTGGAGTAGGAACCTTCAGAACATGGGAACTTAATATGGGTCTCTTCCTTCTGTCCCCTTGTGAGTGACAGGCCTCAGTCTAAAAACATTCTAGTGAGGCCATCCTCAGCTGCTTCTGGGGGAGGGAAGCCTAATCTGAAAGCCCAGTCTTCCTCTCCTTAGGTTGTTGAGTTTGAGATTTTAGCTTTATCCTTCTCAAAACTCTTCCATATTTGGTGCTGAGAGTCTGGACCCATGGCTCTTTTTCTGATGTACTAAGTGTGCTGAGGTTTTTATTTTGACCTTCTCAGTTGATAAAGAAAAATATTATATCATTTCCAAATGTGTGTAGAATCCAAGCAGGAACAAGGGTGACACCTTTCTGCCCTAGGTGTTTGCTCATGCAATCTTGACAGTGGAAAAGAAAGTTTCTGAGAGATGGATTAACTTGCCTGAGGTCATGTAGCCAATGAGGGAAGGAGTGGAAAGTCAACCTGGGTCTGGGTGCTACATAAAAACAAAGTTTTTTTTTTTTTTCATCATACCTTCTTTTTGGAGACTAATGGCTCATTCCAAGCTTTTATATTGCCCAGGCCGGGCATGGTGGCTCACGTCTGTAATCCCAGCACTTTGGGAGGCCGAGGTGGGCGGATCACTAGGTCAGGAGTTTGAGTCCAGCCTGGCCAACATGGAGAAACCCCATATCTACTAAAAATACAAAAATTAGCTGGGCGTGGTGGCGCGCACCTGTAATCCCAGCTACTGGGGAGGCTGAGGCAGGAAAATCGCTTGAACCCGGGAGGTGGAAGCTGCAGTGAGCTGAGATCGCACCACTGCATTCCAGCCTGGGCAACAAGAGTGACACTCCATCTCAAAAAACAAACAAACAAAAAACATATTTATTTATTTATTTTTTATTGCCCAAGAGATACACAGCTATCAGAACAAAACAAACAAACTGGAGTTTCTTTTATGCAGGCGCTACTTAAGGCTTCTGCTCCCAGATTCTAAGAAGACTACATTGATTCTCTTCTCAGGTTGCAGAAGCTTTTTTTTTTTTTGAGAATCCCACAGTGCTGAGATTACAGGCGTGAGCCGCGGCACCCTGCTGCAGAAGCTTGTATGGACAGTTTCAAGCTGCATTACACTAAGGAAATAACTGCTAGGGACTGAGTTGTCTAGTGCAAAGTAGTACAGAATTAGGGGATGAAATTAGGGGGTGATGTATACTGAATTCTAGGTCAACCACAATTGTCCCTCCCTTCCCTCTTTCCTTCCTTCCTTCCTTCCTTCCTTCCTTCCTTCCTTCCTCTCTTTCTTTCTTTCTTTCTTTCTTTTTGAGACAGAGTCTTGCTCTGTGCTGTAGGCTAGAGTGCAATGGTGCAATCTCGGCTCTCGGCACCCTCTACCTCCGGGGTTCAAGCAAGCCTCCCACCTCAGCCTCCCGAGTAGCTGGGACTACAGACACATGCCACTGCGCCCGATTACTTCTTCTACTTTTTGAGGAGATGGGGTTTTGCCACGTTGCCCAGGCTGGTCTTGAATTCCTAGGCTCAAGTGATTTGCCCACCTTGACCTCCCAAAGTGCTGGGATTACAGGTGTGAACCACCGTGTCCAGCCTGTCCCTATTTTGATGATGAAGAAATGTTGACCCTAAGAGGACAAGGAACTTACTTCAGACTGCCCAGTTTGTAGTTCCTTTAGTATTAAAATGTGGCAGTGTTTCCCTCAGGCTGCATTTCCGGAGGGAAATAAAGGTAACATCTGCCATCTCTAAAGATACCTCTCTAAGGAATATATGGCATTGATTACTCAGGTTGTGGTGAATATTCCCCATTCAGACATCGTGCCCTTTCAAAAGAGGACTGGTTTTGGGGTCACATTTCAGTTGGACCCCTGACTTTGAGTTGGTTGTTTAAGCTTCTGGAACCTCCCTTTTACTACCAGTAAAGTGGAGATATTAATACCTATCTTTATAGTTTTGTGGAGTAGTAGTTCTGAGGATTAAATGAGATGACACAATGATACCTATGTGTGACAGACACAATGATACCTATGTGTGACAGTCTCTGTCTTTGTGCTAATGTGGCTGTGTGTGTGAGAGAGATTATGCCTATGATTGTGTAAATGTGTGTATGTTTGTGATTGGGTGAGAATTTTATTTGTATGTGAGATCAGGGGATTAATTATGTGGGATCTAGTCTGATTGTGAGGCACAGGAAAATTAAAATTACTTGCCTAACACAGCATGAGTTAACATGGTATATTTATATTACATGAGGCACAGTAAAATTTCTTCATTTATCTAATACTTTTGAGAAACTACCATGGTTTGATGGTGTTCTGTCATTAGAATACACCAGTGAACCAAACAAAACCTAGATCTCTTGGATCTTATAATCTTGTATGGGAAGAGAAACAATGAAACAAAGCTATATGTAACATGTCCAGTGGTGATAAATGCTAAGACGAAAAATAATTCAGCATAAAGAAAAATTGAGTACCTGGAACAGGGGTTCCCTTTAGGTAGAATTTTCAGGGAAGTCCCTCTGATGAAGGGACACCTGAATGCATATAGGAATAAAGAGGAATGGCCCATACTGGTGTCTGGGAGAAAGTTCCAGGCAGAAGGAAAAGGTCACAACCCTGAAGGAGGGGTGTACGCAGTGTTTGAGTAACAGCAGAAAGACACGTGTGCCTGGAGTGTGGTGAGCAAGGGGCAAAAGGGTAGGAAATTAGGTCAGAGGTACAGCCAGGGGCCAGATCATGAACCACCTTGTTGGCCGTAGGACAGACTTTGGATTTTGTTGAGTTCAGGCTACGCATCCTTAATATAAGTCAAGACTTTGAGAGTTAAGTTCAACTTTGGATTCCCCCACGCCACCCCCTGCCAGATCTTGGAAAAGATGAGACTGGCCCATGTAGGGAGAAGAAAGGGGCAATAGTTCCATTTTGTGGGTCTTGGGCCAAAAACATAGGGCTGACACACCATCATTTCTTCCTTAACTCTCGCTTCTCAGGACTTTTTTCTTCTTCAGAAGAGAAAACTGAAGAAGGAGGAATGGCCGTGGGGCTTTGTAAAGCCATGTCCCAGGTAAGCATGCTCTTTCGCTTTGTTTTCAGACATTTGACCTCATTTTTCAGGACTTTGGAACCGCAGGGAAAGTCACAAATAGCCCAATGAGCACTCCTTCCACTTTTCTCTCTCCACATTTTGTTCACATAATCCTTCTACAAAACATTTAATATCTTTTTTACTCAGCGTTATGCTCACCTGTGTGATGGAGCAGAGCTGTCCTCTTTAGATGGATGATGGTTTCTTGAGTTGGTGATGAGGTGCAAGTGAAATAAGGGGTAGAGGTTGATTACTGAGTCATCTATTAAATAGGGAGGTCAAGGACGGCCTCTCTGAGGAAGTGACATTTAGCAAAGCAAAACTTCAGTGAAAGTAGCAAGTAAGTTTTGTGAAGATCTGGGAAAGAACTTTAAAAGAAGGAGTACAAAGTTATTATGGTGGGAGCATGTTTGGTGTGTTCCAAGAATAGCAATGAGTCTGTCCTTGGAGAGAAATGATCACTATGATGTCAGAGGTATAGCTGGGGACCAAATTATATAGGCCCTTTCAAGTCATGATCTGAACTTTGAATTTGGTTCTAAGTGAAGGAGAGTTAAGTTCATTGGAGCGTTTGTGATCTGATTTGATTTATGCCTTAAAGTGAAAACAGATAGCAGGGGAGTAAAGGTGGAAGCAGGGAGGCCAGTCAGGAGACTGTTTTAGTAATCCAGACAGGAGGTGATAGCAGCCTGGACCATGGTGGTGGCGTTGGAGCTAGTGAGATTCTGGGTATACATTGGAGATAGAAAATGCAATTTGATCAAGGATTAGTTGTGGTGTATGAGAGGAAGAAGTCAGGATGCCTACAGAGATTATTGGCTAGGCAGCTACATGAATGGACATGCCATTTACTGAGCTGGAAAGACAATGTGAAGTGGGATGGACATCAAGAATTGAGTTCTGAAGGCCAGGCATGGTGGCTAACACCTATAATCCCAGCACTTTGGGAGGCTGAGGCGGGTGGATTGCGAGGTCAGGAGATTAAGACCATCCTGGCTAACACGGTGAAACCCGGTCTCCACTAAAAATACAAAACATTAGCCAGGTGTGGTGGTGGGAGCCTGTAACCCCAGCTACTCGGGAGACTGAGGCAGGAGAATGTTGTGAACCCAGGAGGTGGAGCTTGTAGTGAGCCGAGATCGCGCCACTGCACTCCAGCCTGGGTGACAGAGGGAGACTCCATCTCAAAAAAAAAAAAAGAATTGAGTTCTGGATATATTTAGAGACCTTTTGGATATCCAAATGGAATGCTGATTATACATCTGGAGTTCAGGACTATAGATGTGAATTTGGGAGTCCTTAGTGTATTCTTGCTTTCTTTCTTGCTTGCTTGCTTGCTTGCTTTGTTGCTTTCTTTCTTGCTTTCTTTCGTCTTTCTTTCTGATAGACTGTTGCTCTGTCGCCCAGGCTGGAGTGCAATGGCGCAGTCTCGGCTCACTGCAGCCTCTGCCTCCTGGGTTCAAGCGATTCTCCTGCCTCAACCTCCCGAGTAGCTGGGATTATAGGCACACGCCACCACGCCCAGCTAATTTTTGTATTTTTAGTAGAGATGGATTTCACCATGTTGGCCAAGATGGTCTTGATCTCCTGACCTTATGATCCACCTGCCTCGGCCTCCCAAAATGCTGGGATTACAGGCGTGTGAGCCACTGCGCCCAGCCATCCTTAGTGTATTTAAAGCATGAGATAGGATGAGATTATCTTGAGGGCAAGGTTGTGGTGAATGTAGGTAGGAAATAGCAGAAAAAAGAGAATGGAAAACGAGGAAGGTGAGAACAAAGACAGTGAATTTAGACTTACAATAGTGTAGCCAGCAGGCACATGTGAGTACTCTAAATTGTGATGTGCTGTAAGTGTAAAGTATATACCAGATTTTGAAGATTCAGTGCGAAAAAGTGTAAGAAATCTCATTGTTTTTATATTATTACATGTTGAAATAACTTTTTCGATATATTGGGTTAAATAAAAATGATATTTTTTTCTATTTATTTTTTTCTTGTGACTACTGGAAAATTTCAAATTACATATGTGACTCAGATATTTCTGGTAGATAACACTGGTCTAGACAACTCATCGGAAGAGTTTTGTTATTAAGAGGAGTAGAGAAATGGGGAAATAGCTAGAGTGAGATCATGGAAAGGGAACTTATTTATTTATTTATCTATGTATTTATTTACAAGATGGAAGACATTGCATCAGTTTTTTTGCTGATTGGGATGATCCAGTAAAGCGAGAATAGTTGGTAGTATAAGGGAGAGAGGTGAAAATGTCTTTGTGTGGGCAAGGGGAGGGGCTGGTCTTCGAAGCCTAGAGTTTTATCCATAGTCACAGAGGGCAGACAGAATATACAGCTATCAGTACAGACACAGAAGGGTAAGTACATATGGTGGCTGGAGGATGAGGAAGTTCAAAGTGAGAACGAGATGAGTTGATGAGAGTGTAATGAAATAGTTATCAGGAGATGGGGAGAGTGAATTTGTTAGGAAAGCATAGTAGAGTGGTTTTGCAGTGCTTTTGAGGACTCTCTGGCCATATGTGAGAAGTAATTTGTGTCAACATGTTTTATTAATCAGGTTCTAGCAAGGTAATCAAAAGGCGACTATTTACAAGGTATTATCAGGACATAGAGAAACTATGAAGGATCGTGCTGTATTCCGGGGCTCATAACAGCATAGCTCTCTTACTTCTAACCCTAGATCTTTGAATCCAGAGACAGAGAGCTGGGTGGAGGGGGCCCCTGACAGGTGCTCTGAACTTTGATTGAAAGACAGAGACCACCCAGGGTGGCGCTTCCACCCAAGGAGGCAGCCAGGGGACTAAGTATTCTGCCTTACATACCTTCCTTTCATCTCTTGCTTGTGGCTGAACCCAACAGAATATGGGATGGGACAAGGGAGTTTATTGATGCAGTCAGCCTCCTAGGACTCAGAAAAGAGTAGAGGAGCACATGGAAGTTATACAACACTATGGAGTTGTGTAATTTTTTCCCTAGACACATTCAGCCCTATTTCCACTACGTAGAATAACCATATTTGATATTTCTTTTTTTTTTTTGAGATGGAGTCTTGCTCTGTCACCCAGGCTGGAAGTGCAGTGGCACGATCTCGGCTCACTGCAGCCTCCTCCTCCCGATTTCAAACAATTCTCCTGCCTCAGCCTCCCAAGTAGTTGGGACTACAGGCACATACCACCACGTCCAGCTAATTTTTGTATTTTTAGTAGAGACGAGGTGTCACCATTTTGAAGCCAGGCTGGTCTCTAACTCCTAACCTCAGGTGATCTGCCTGCCTTGGCCTCCCAAAGTGCTGGGATTACAGGCGTGAACCACCATGCCTGACCTGATATTTCATTATTTTTTATAAGAAAAAGAGAACATATTGTACAGACTGGAGCCCTATCATTTTTAAGCACTGAATACTCTTTCTTCAAATGGACATTTTATAGGAAACATCCCTGAGTAGCAAGTATTTACTGGGAGTTTACAATGTGATCAGTTTTGTAATAGACATTGGATATGTATCAGCTTATAAAACAAATATCTCTCCCTTCACTTAGCCTACAGTTCGGTGCTATAGCCTAAACTCTATTTTTGAACATGTAAGTTTTTTCCAGATTTTTTACATAACGTTCCAGTGAAAATTCTATCTAAGTCGCTTCACATATACTTCATTATTTCTTCAGGATATGTTCCTGGACATTTCTCATTACATATAAAGTCTAACTTTCAGGCCATACCCTTTTGTTAAAGCCCAATTCAAGGCCTTTCTCCTATTGTGCCCCACCTGATGTCTCAATTTGGGGAATATAAAGGAATCCCCCATATAAGATTTTCTTTATACTTAGTATACGTAACATAACAACTTAGTCTTTGCTGTTTTTTGTTACAAGCTAATTTTGTGTATATATGTCTTTTTCACAAAAATGTAAAAGTATCAAACGGTGGGTCTGTTTCTAATATTTCTCTTCTCTTAAAGTATTTGACAAACCTCAGCATGTAATTGTTCTCCAATAATTATTTTCCTTGTGTCACTTAGAGCTTTGGACTCTGGCCAAATGCATCTTTTTGGCTAGGACTATATGGGTGTCTGGGCACCTGGTGAGCAAGAATTTTTTTATTTCAGGGGTTGGTGACCTTCAGAGATGTGGCGCTAGACTTTTCCCAAGAAGAGTGGGAATGGCTGAAGCCATCTCAGAAGGATTTATACAGAGATGTCATGTTGGAGAACTACAGGAACTTGGTATGGCTTGGTAAGGATGTTTCTCCCCCATCATTTAAAAATCTTCCTCTGGAGTGTTTCTGCTTCCTCTGTTGAGAATATCTAGGACATCTTAAGACATCTTAAAAGCACTTACTTGCGTTTCTACTTCCTGTCCTCAGGAAGTGATTTGAAATATGTATATATTTTTAACTTTTTAAGTTTCTTAAATTTTAATTAATTAATTAGTTTACTTTTGGCAGACATTCTGAACACATTAAGTAATTTCTTTTTTTTTTTTTTCTGAGACAGAGTCTTGCTCTTGTCGCCCAAGCTGGAGTGCAGTGGCGCGATCTTGGCTCACTGCAACCTCTGCCTCCCGGGTTCAAGCGATTCTCCTGCCTCAGCCTCCTGAGTAGCTGGGATTACAGGCGCCCGCCACCATGCCCGGCTAATTTTTGTACTTTTAGTAGAGATGGGGTTTCTCCATGTTGGCCAAGCTGGTCTTGAACTCCTGACCTCAGATGATCCGCCCACCTCGACCTTCCAAAGTGCTGGGATTACAGGCATGAGCCCCTGCGCCCGGTGTATGAAGTAATTTCATAGAGTTGGAAATGGGTAGTTCCCTTTGCCATAGAATGGTGGTTTGGAACAGCAACATCAACATGTCCTGGGAATGTGTTAAAATGCAAATTATGAGGCCCCATTCTAGACCTACAAAATCAGAAACTCTGGGAGTAGGCTCAGTAGTCTGGGTTTTAATAAGCTCTGCAAATGACCCTGACGTCTATTAAAGTTTGAGAGCCACTGTAGTTTCTGACGCAATAGTTCTGGGTTGGGGCCTGAGAATGTGCATTTCTAATTAGTTCCTAGGTGATGGCTGCAGCTGCTGTAGCACTTTGAGAACCACTGCCATGGCAGAAGCTTCATCCTCCTCCTCATCCACACAAGCATCATTCCATTCTCTAGCCCTTCCTCTAATGTCCATTCTTGCCTGGTGATCGAGAGATTGGGTCTGCGTCCTAGAACAGCTGTGGCATGTTGATTTGTTTGTCTGTATGTCTGTCTGTCTCTTGCTCTCATTTTCTTTCCCTGTGAACAGGACTCTCCATTTCTAAGCCCAACATGATCTCCTTACTGGAGCAAGGGAAGGAGCCGTGGATGGTGGAGAGAAAGATGTCACAGGGTCACTGTGCAGGTGAGTGACAGATCACCAGGCAGGGAGGACTATTGTAAGGTACTCGACCACGTAGTAAGTAGGAAACTCTTTTGGGCTTCAGGTGGGATGAGAACTGAAATCTCCCTAGTATGTGCTTCCCTAGAAACCTCACCACACCCTGGGGTTTTTTCTTTTTCTTTCTATCAAATTATGCTCTCTAGTCTTCCACCTATACCTTGAATCTCAATCCTTCTCAGCTCTTCTTTTCCCTTTACAGTTAGAATTATATTACATTTCCAGATTTCTTTTTCAGAGTTTTTATTTTTATCAGAATTATGAAAGATATGTACGCACATTGTTTAAAAAATCAAGTAGTATCATTAGCTTGGTGCAAAAATAATTGCCATTTTGCCAAAAAACACAATTACCTTCACACCAAAAAGCCTATACAAGGCTTTTTCCCTTGAAAAAGGAATTCTTGTTCCTGGCTTCCCAGTTTCCCTCTTCCTAGAGCAGTCCACTTTCTTTTCTTTTGTAGTTTCTTTTGGTGTTCCCTTCATATCTCCAAAAATATGTTAATGTTGCTACTCTTGATTGTTTTTTCAGGGTGAGCCTTTATTCGATATCTTCTTATAAGAAAGTAAGGAGGCCGGGCGTGGTGGCTCACGCCTGTAATCCCAGCACTTTGGAAAGCTGAGGCAGGCGGATCACGAGGTCAGGAGATCGAGACCATCCTGGCTAACACGGTGAAACCCTGTCTCTACTTAAAGGGCAAAAAATTAGCCAGGCATGCTGGCGGACGCCTGTAGTCCCAGCTACTCGGGAGGCTGAGGCAGGAGAATGGCGTGAACCCAGGAGGCAGAGCTTGCAGTGAGCCGAGATCGTGCCACGGCACTCCAGCCTTTTGAGACTGTGTCTCAAAAAAAGAAAAGAAAAGAAAAGAAGGAGTTAGCACTTTCTTCTCCTGAATTCAACACATGTGCACCCACACAAATACACACATTTCCCATCCCCCATCATCTCAATGTCATAATTTTGATTAAGTCACTATTCAGCATTTATTTTATTATGGCCATTTAGTGCTAGTCATAGCTGTGCTGTGCATATGCCAAGTTACTTTTTCTCTACACCTTTTTATTTTCCATGGAGTTAATAATGACTTGGGAATTTTGTCCTTTTTTTTTTTTTTTTTGCTTAGTTTATATGTACATATCCCGAATCCAATTCCCGACTTACTATCAATTGTCTGAATCTTTCAAGATACTTGGATATATTAGGTGATCTATTGACTTCATCTTCTTGGAGTAATCTCTCCTGGAATCCTCAGATATGCTTCACTCTGCACAAATGGCTCATTATATTTGCATGCACTCAATTTGGATCTATCTGATTTATCTGATATTTTCTTATAATTAGATTGCGGTAATGCATTTTTGCAAAGAATGTCACAGAAATAATGTTGTTTCTCTCTCAGTGCATCATTCCAAAGGATGCATAATGTCGATAACGTCTTAGTATTGGTGATGTTAACTTTGAACACTTAGTGAAGGTAGTGTCTGCTTGGTTTCTCCATTATAAATTTCTTATTTTTCTCTTTGTAATTAAGAAATATCTTGGGGGAGACACTTCGAGATTATTCAGTTTCTTCTGTAATTTTTGCCCATTTATTTTAGCATTTATTGCTGGATCTCTTCAACTATTATTACTGTGGTAGTAACCTAATGTTGATTTTTTTCCATTTCCCTCTTTTCTTTATGTATATTAATTGCGATTGTTCTGTAGGAAGAGCTGCTCCTTCCAATCCATTTACTTATATATTCAATTATATTTACAGATTTTTTCCTATGAGGTAAACCTAATATACTTCATAAAATGTAATGACTTCATAAAATTTAGATGGATTTATTTTTAGATTTATGGATTTTTATTTCTATGAAGTAAATCCAATGAATCATTATTTTGTTTCTCAAATCATTCCAGCTTTGAATGTTGGAATCTCCTTCACTTTGGTTCCTTTGACCTTCTGACATGCCCCCATACATTTTTTGAGCACGTCCTTCCTTCTGGCACAAGGTATTCCAGGTTCTCTTATTTTCCTTGCCCCAGCCTTGAATCAACCACTTCTCCAAGGAGCTCTCATTGCTTTATTGGGAAATGGTGTTTAGAAACCAAGCTAGGTATGCTCTAGGCTACTGGGATGTCACTAGGCTACTGGCCCTGACAGCAGCTAAAGCTAGGAAACAGATAGATAGATAGATAGATAGATAGATAGATAGATAGAGCAAGCTAGGAAATAGATGGATAGATAGATAGATAGATAGATAGATAGATGGATAAATATTTACACACACACCCCTATATTTATTTCTGCCTCTTTTTTTTCCATTTTTTATTACCTCTATCTTTTTATCTATTAAAACTATCAGTTCATATTAATAACTTGATTTATAGTCCTGCTTTACAGGGTTTATTGTAGCCTTCCTCCTTTACTTATTTGTAATTTCTTTTTCTGATAATGAGAAAAAATATATTTACCTATTTGTTCAATTTTAGTATACACATAAAGTACTTTCAGAATTTCTAACCTATTTCTCTGTGAGAAACAAATTTAACAACTAGATTTAGGTATTCATGTATAGTACTTTTTGTTTCAGTCTTATATTGTCCAGTCAAAAATACTATTTCCAAAATTACTTAGGTTAGTTATTTTAGGTCCATTTGTTACTGTTTTTTTTTTTGAGATGGAGTCTCCCTCTGTCCCCAGGCTGGAATGCAGTGGCGCAATCTCAGCTCACTGCAACCTCCGCCTCCCAGGTTCAAGCGATTCTCCTGCCTCAGGCTCCTGAGTAGCTGCGACTACAGGCGTGTGCCACCACCCCCAGCTAATTTTTGTATTTTTAGTAGAGACATGGTTTCACCATGTTGGCCAGGATGGTCTCAATCTCTTGACCTCATGATCCGTGCCAGCTTTGGCCTCCCAAAGTGCTGGGATTACAGGTGTGAGCCACCCTGCCCAGCCCATTTGTTACTGTTTATAACAAATGTTCTATTTTGCATTCCTACTACGTCCTGCTTAGTTTTAATTTTTTTTTTTGTATCTAAAACATTACTATGCCTCTAAGATCAGAGCTATATAAAATAGTATAAAGTAGATCTCCAAAAAGTATTGTGCCCTCCTTGTTCCTACTACGTTATTCTTTTTCCCTGCTTCTTCCTACCCATTTCCCACCCACCCCTTGTATGTTACCAATTTCCTTAGTTTCAAGTTTATCCTTGAAATAAATGTTTCTCTTGCACAAATTAGCAGTTACATGTGTAGTTTCTTGTATCTTCTTTATATGACAAATAGTGTGCTATAGATACATTTTGCTTTTATCACTTAAAAGGAAATCACTTTATATTAGTTCATGAAGATCTTCCTCATTTTTTTTTTTTTTTTTTTTTGAGACAGAGTCTCACTCTTACCCAGGCTGGAGTACAGTGACAGGATCTTGGCTCACTGCAACTTCTGCCTCCTGTATTCAAGCAATTCTCCTGCCTCAGCCTCCTGAATAGCTGGGACTACAGGTGTGCACCACCATGCCCAGCTAATTTTTGTATTTTTAGTAGAGAAAACGTTTCACCATGTTGGTCAGGCTGGTCTTGAACTTCTGATCTCGAGTGATATGCCTGCCTCAGCCTCCCAAAGTGCTGTGATTACAGGAGTGAGCCACCATGCCCTGCCCTTCTTCATTTTTTGACTGCTTCATAATACTTCATTATGTACCCCTTATCATAATTTATTCAACTACACTAATGTATGGTCATTTAGTGTTTGCAATATTTTACAGTTGCAAAAGATGTTGTGATGAATAACCTTGAACTTATATATATTTTTTATTGTTGAGGCTGTATCTTCAGCATGGATTCCTAGATGTGGAATTGCTGAGTGAGTGCATATACAGTTTTGTTTTTTTTTTTTAGACAAGAGTCTCGCTCTGTCACCAGGCTGGAGTGTACTGACCCAATCGCAGCTCACTGCAACCTCCTCCTCCTGGGTTCAAGTGAGTCTCCTGCCTCAGCCTCCTGAATAGCTGGGACTACAGGTTTGCACCACCACGCCTGGCTAATTTTTGTATTTTTAGTAGAGATGGGGTTTCACCATATTGGCCAGGCTGGTCTCGAACTCCTGGACTTCGTGATCCACCCACTTCAGCCTCCCAGAGTGCTGAGATTACAGGCATGAGCAACCACACCTGGCCATACATATGTAGTTTTATAAGGAATTGCTACATTCCCCTCCAGAAAAGTTGTCTGCTTAATTTTTTTTTCTGCTGTAATAAATTAGCACACATTTAGTGACTTAATACAACACAAATTTATTATAGCTCTGGAGGTCAGAAGTAAAAACTAGGTCTTACAGAGCTAAAATCAAGATGTCAGCAGTGTACATTCTTTCCTAAGGCTCTATGGGAGAATGTTTCCTTGAGTTTTCATGCTTTTTTTTTTTTTTTTTTTTCAGATGGAGTCGCGCTCTGTCGCCCAGGCTGGAGTACAATGGTGTGATCTTGCCTCACTGCAACCTCCGCCTTCTGGGTTCAAGTGATTCTCCTGCCTCAGCCTCCCGAGTAGCTGGGATTACAGGTGCTCAACACTATGCCCAGATAATTTTTGTATTTTTAGTAGAGACAGGGTTTTGCCATGTTGGCCAGACTGATCTCAAACTCCTGACCTCAGGTGATCCACCCTCCTTGGCCTGCCAATGTGCTGGGATTATACAGGTGTGAGCTACCACGCCTGACTGATTTTTTTTTTTTTTTTTTTTTTTTTTGGAGACAGAGTTTTGCTGTTGTCGTCCAGGCTGGGGTGCAGTGGTGCGGTCTCAGCTCACTGCAACCTCCACCTCCTGGGTTTAAGTGATTCTCCTGCCTCAGCCTCCCAAGTAGCTGGGATTACAGGTGTGTGCCTGTACACTTTTGTACACTGTATAAAAATACAAAATTTTTGTATTTTTAGTAGAGACGGGGTTTCGCCATATTGGCCAGGCTGGTCTTGAACTC